CCACAACAAAATATTTTTTGTTTTAATAAGATTATTCTACAATTTTGCCGCTCACGCTATATAGGGTGCGCCAGAACTCGCGCCCCAGGGAAAAATGCCATATAAAGTAAGATACCAGGAACATGGAAAAAATGTTAAAAAAAATTATCTATAAAAATTTATATTTATTTCGGTTGGAAAATAATTTTGCAAGTTTTTTTGCTACAAGCTATTAGAAGAGGAAACAAGAAAGCTGTATCCTAAATTGTAACTCTGTTTAAGATTATTTGTGACTTTTGTTGTACCTTTACGAAATAATTATGAAAAAACATATACAAGATCATCAGTATCATTAAATAGACATAAAAAATGTCAAATGTCAAAAAATAAGCCAAAAGTTTCTGACAGATCGATTTTTTTACATGTTCCTGGTACCTTTTCTCTGAGGATCGAGTTCTGGCGCACCCTGTATAAATATCACTCAATAATCACATTTCTTTTACACTGCATCCATTATTCTTTATTTTTACAATAAAACAATTCGAATTTCAATATTTATTTCCGCTTTTACAATCACTGGAGAAATCCCAAAAAAGTGATCCATATTGGAATTACTATGCTTGCAACAATAAACATTAAAAGTTAAATGTTTTTTAATTTATCTATTTTATATAATTTAGAGATTAAAAGTTTATTTTTTAAATCGACAATTTATCAGTCTATTAGATAAAAATAAAAAATAAGGTGTCCCATTTAAATTTTTTAATTATTTAACTTTTGACAAATCTCTACATTTTTTTAAGTTTTCGACTGTAATACATTAAAAAAAAATGTTATAGTCTTAAAATTCGTACTTTCCTTTTTACAGTGATAATACTGATAAAGAATTTTTTAGCTGTTTTAACTTTTTGTGTAATATTTTTTTTAAAGTTTGTTTTTGTCAAGAAAACCAACTTATTTCAAAAAAACATTTAAATCAAAAGCTACATACAAAAATGCCAAGAAACATATGGAGCTTTATTAAAAAAAAAAAAACACTTTTTTGGAACACGCTGTATAGTTCAGGGTATGCACTAGATTCCAACACATATTTTTTATTTCTTATATTTAAAGGTAACAAATGACTTTACCAACTCGCTTGCACACCCTGTATACCGCAAAAGAGGATTTCAGGAGAAAATTGGGCTTCGACAACATAAATTAATTTGGGTTTTTATTCAATATGTGCAAAACCTGTTGCTATTGTAAATTAAACTTAAAATGAATTATAAAAATGTAACAAGATTTAAGACAGTAACTCGCATCAATCTCTGTCGGAAGCTATAAAGTAGACTTTAAAAATTACCTTTCCATAAACTTTTTAATTCCAGTCAGAGAAAAAACTTTCGCCGACTATTCCGTGTTTTTATTCATAAAAGAATAAATTTTACAGATCCCAGTTGATCAATTCGTTTCATGCATGAGAAATAATTTTTATTAAATTCGTTTGAATAAATCGGAGTTTGGAACTAACAAAAGACTCAAATTCGAATAAATCTCTCGTCTAAATTAAGTCGTGACGATTTTTTCGATTTGAAAGCGATTTTGTCGCGTTTTCCGTCACCTCTCAAATCCCCATTTCGCCACTAAGCCTCCATTAAACCCAAATGCCATCCCATTAAAGACAATAATCAGATTCCGGCTAGTCGGACGTCCCTAGGGACGTCCTATTAAATTTTATTTGCATTCGGAAGTAAGACTGTCTCCCCTTTGAGAAAAATCTTCGCTCATTACACAAGGCGACAAAAAAAAATCATGTCGTGACAACTTGACAAATTTTATGTCATTTTGTTCGTCTCAGTGAGACAAATCAAATGCACTAAAAAAAATTCAAAAAGTCCACACACTTTGAACTAAATAATTTTTTTCTAATTTAAATGAATTTTTTTACTTTAACTTTAAAAAATCATTACTCAATAACTATTAGGCCGATTTCCTTCAAATAAAGACCATTCTAAAGGGATGGAATTACCCTTTAGAATAATATGCAATTTGAAATTGAATATTGGCAAACTTTTCTTCGAACAGTGTTCGAAGAAGTTCGAAGTAAATCGAAGTAATCTAAGAAAAACCCTACGAGTAATTTTTTTTTCTTCATCACCATCGTGTAGAGCATCTTTTTATTAGTAAGAATCCAAATTTTTAAAATAATATACCGAGTAGTTTTCAAAATATGATTTTTTGAAGTTAATGTTTGCTATTCAGGTATTGCGCTATATAGGAGAAATGCATGTTAATCTTACCTAAAATTGCATTTTTACAAAAGTATTTGTTTTAAGGCTCTTGTTTTGCTTAAAAATGGTCAATTGCACCTTCTTTGTTCTAAATAGAATAAACAAAAACTGTTTCTTTATTTAAAACAAAGAAAGAGTACCTGCGTACTAATTAAAGCAAATAAAGAGTTTTTTGTTCTAAAAATGATCACTGATCATTGAGCAAAAAGGATCTAGAAGTTTAAAGCAGTAGCTTTAAATATAAGAACAAATCTTTTTCAAATTAAATGACTTTCCATTCAGATTCCAACTTGTTCACTTTGTTCTAGCTTTCTGATCTTTTTTTTGAAAATGTTCTCAGCAAATGCTTTTTCATCACTTTCTACTGATTTTAAATGCAATAAGTCAGTTGCTTCGTGTGCAACTGTTATCACAACAACTACTACCTACAAGCTAACTGAAGCTAATCGTACCAACAAAATAAATCAGGTGACTTATTGTATTTAACATCACTTGAAACTGATGAGAAAGCATTTGCTTAGAACATTTTCAAAAAAAGTCCAGAAAGCTAGAACAAAGTGAACAAGTCGAAATCTGAATGGAAAGTGATTTGATTTGAAAAAGATTTGCCCTTATATTTAAGACTCGTGCCTTAAACTTCTAGATCCTCTTTGCTCAATAATCAGTGGTCATTTTTACAACAAAAAAACTCTTTATTTGCTTTAATTAGTACGCAAGTACTCTTTATTAAAAAATTGTTATAAATCTTTGGCTTTACTCTTATATATAATATTTAATCTGTCGTTGAGTACTGGTATATTTCCAGCATTTTGGAAACAATCATTTATTGTGCCTATTCATAAATCTGGTTCGACGTCCAAAATAGAAAATTACCGTCCACTATCAATTTTGTCGGCGATTCCTAAATTATTTGAAACCATTGTAATTATCTTATAAAGTCAAGTTAAGTTGTGGACTCTTTTGGTCATAGTATGGAGATGCACTCAGTATATACAGACAGGCTACACGTCAGGTTTACAAAGTGTGCCTTCAGGTGTACCACAGGGATCTGTTTTGGGTCCACTTTTTTTCATTATTTTTACAAATGATATAGGATGTAATTTTGATAGTGATTATCGTATATTTGCTGATGATCTTAAGATATTTAGAAAGGTTACAGAATCTCGTGACATTTCTGTATTACAATCTGATTTAAATAAGTTACAAGACTGGTGTGCAAATAACAAAATGTTTTTAAATGTTGCTAAGTGTTAGTCTATTGTTTTCAGCAGGAAAATCTCTCCAACCCTACCGAATTATTTTATTAATAATACAAAAATATCAGTAAAACAGTCTGTGAGAGATTTCGGTATATTACTTGATAGTAAATTAACTTTTATTCAACACCTTGATTTTATCATTTGTAGAGCTAATAAGGCACTTGGCTGCATAAAACGTTATTGTCGTGATTTTAGAAATTTTAATTCTATCAAAATGCTATTTGTTTCAATCCTCGAATATGGTTCGATAATCTGGAATCCGCATTATAAAATTCATGTTGGTAGGCTTGAAGCAATACAGTTTAAGTTTTTTTAAATATATAAAATGGTTGCTGCCTTATTATGTGCAAGATAATTACAATATTTCATTAAATTATGTGTCTCTTTCTACACTTGAAATTAGAAGAAGATGTCAGGCTTTATGTTTTGTTTATAAACTTTTAAATAATTTGATTAATGATACTTCAATACTAAATTTAATTAATTTTCACGTTCCACAGTATAATAGTAGATCAAACCAATTATTCAAAATTTCGTTTGCACACAATAATTATCTGTTTAATTCTCCTCTAAATGACCTTTTAAGAATTTGTAACATGTACAGTGTCAAGTTGGACTTTTTTAATTTTAAATCCTTTAATAGTTTCAAGCGTTTTCTAAAAGTTTTGTTGAGTTAGTCATTTAGAATTCTTTAATTATGTTTATATGTGATTTGTTTTCTATTATAACTTTATCATTACTTAATGTAAAGGATATTACCGTTAAATAAAGTTATTATTATTATTTAAAGTAAACAAACAGTTTTTGTTTATTGTAATTAGAACAAAGAAGGTGCAATTGACCATTTTTAAGCAAAAGAAGAGTTTTAAAACAAATACTTTTACGAAAATGCAATTTTAAGTAAGATTAACTTGCATTTCTCCTATATGGAGCAATGCTTGATTTGCAAACCTTAACTTCAAAAAATCATATCTTGAAAACTACTCGGTATATTTTTTTTGAAAATTTGGATTACAACTAATACAGAGATGCTCTACACGATGGTAATAATAAAAAAAATTTACTCGTAGGGTTTTTCTTAGATTATTTCGATTTACTTCGAACTTCTTCGAACACTGTTCGAAGAAAAGTTTGCCAATATTCAATTTCAAATTTTATATCATTTTAAAGGACAAGGCCATCCCTTTAGAATGGTCTTTATTTGAAGGAAATCGGCCTAATAGTTATTGAGTGATGATTTTTTAAACATAAAGTATTTTAAATTCATTCAAATAAGAAAAAAATTATTTTGTTCAAAGTGTGTGGACTTTTTATTTTTTTTAGGTCATTTGAGTTGTCTCACTGAGACGAAGAAAATGATATAAAATTTGTCAAGTTGTCACATGACTTTTTTTGTCGCCTTGTGTTATCAAAAATGGTGGAGGCGCCGGGCGACACTTAAAATTTTAAACAGTCGTAAAAGATAAGAGACTTTTAAGGGTTGTTTCAGCTTGCTCCGTCAGCGTCGGAGTGTGGACTCTGGTGGCCATCTCCGTCGAGAGGTACTACGCGATTTGTCACCCTTTGAGATCTCTCCGATGGCAAACTATCAGCCACGCTTATAAACTCATAATGGGGATATGGATCGGAAGTCTCATTTGCATGGCACCTATCGCCCTTTTGAGCCAACTCAAGCCCACAAAGCAAGGTGAACACAATTAGTTTTGTTGACTAAGCACTTAATAAGCACCACACAAACAACCATAAATTCCACCCAACTCCTGATGTTCTTAATAATAAATCAATAGAAGAACGCCTTCTTTCCAGCCAATTGAACTTTGAAACAAACCGCAACTCCAACACCTATACTTTTTCTAGATTTAACCCGAGATAAATTTTAAATAATTCACCAGATAAGCGAAACTTTAACCAATTTTTAAGTTGCTAATGGAGAAATATCGACCAAACGAAACTCTTAAATCTTCTTATTTTTAATCTGATTCCAGGAAATTACAAATGTCGGGAAGATTGGCCCTCACTCGACTACGAAAAAGCCTACAACTTATTCCTCGACGTTGTCCTCTTGGTAATCCCCCTATTGGTCCTAGGACTCACTTATTCACTCATCACGAGGACACTCTGGAAAGGAATGAAGACGGAAAAGGTCCTGCGCGACCACACAGGTCAGTCAAAAATTATACAGAGTGTTAAAAAAAGATTGTAAAATATTTGAGGAGGTAATAGTAGGACCAAAACAAACAAAAAAGTATCAATAAATACGGGTCCATGGAAATATCGAAAATCATCCGTTTTTTGAAACATTTATTTGCGATCTGTTCAAACAAAAAATAGTAGCGTCTAGGATAAGGATCCACATTATTACCTCCTTATAGAGGCTGTCCCAGCAAGTTGAAAAATTTGTATAGGACATTGATATACAGGGTGGTCCAAATGTCTAGAAACGTTTATTCTGGCGAAACTATCAATTTTTTGCCAAATAAATTTATAGGTGTGCAATGGCTATAAAAACGCTATTCAAAAAAATTTTGAATATTAATTAATTATTTATACCATTTTTTCTTAAATGGAAATCCGTCACAATTTTTTATTAGACAACGAGCTTGTTACAAGAATTGTTGCTGCGCAATTTTTTTTGTAAACCTCACACTTTTTTGTTAAAAAAATGTTTGACTAAGTAAACTACTAGTTTTTTTGGAAATAAATTAAAAAATGTTTAAAGCTGGTAAAGGAGCGATGTCAAAATATTTTTATTTTAATTAATTGTTTAAACATTTGAGATTACCATATTTTATTTTTTTAATAAAAACGGTTTTTTATTTATTGTTTTACAAAGATATGTTTATGCATTATACAGGATGCGCCAGAACTCGCGCCCCAGAAAAAAATGCCATATAAGGTAAGATACCAGGAATATGGAAAAAATGTTAAAAAAATTTTATCTATAAAAATTTCGAAGTTATGAGGGTTTAAAGTTTGCACTTTGACTCTATTTATTTCTGTTGGAAAAATAATTTTCCAATTTTTTTTGATATAGGCTATTAAAAGAGGAAACAAGGAAGCTGTATCCCAAATTGTAACTTTATTCAATGGTATTTGTGGATTTTATTGGCAAAATTTTTGTCCCTTTACTAAATAATTGTAAAAAAACATCATCAGTATCCTTAAATAGACATAAAAAAATGTCAAATGTCAAAAAATAAATGTCAAAATTTTTTGACAGATAAAATTTTTTAAACATTTTTTTCATGTTCCTGGTATCTTACCTTACTTGAAAATTTTCTCTGGGGCGTGAGTTCTAGCGCACCCTGTGTAAATGTACAAAAATATTTATTGAAAATGTTACAATTTATATTAAAAAATTATAAACTTTATCAGTTGTCAAAACTTTCTTCCACCGGTCATGGGATGGTACGTTACGACCTTCTTTTATGTCGTTGCTATGGCGTCCTCATTTTGTTATTTTATTTGTATTTTATTTTCTTTTCTTTTCCTTTCTTTTCTTTTATTTTATTTTATTCGTTACAAATACTGAAATTAAAATAATTTTATTGCAAAAATAAAGAATAATGGATTCAGTTTAACACAAATGTGATTATTAAGTGATATTTCTTCCATTTCTTGTGCAACTGTGCACTTTTTGGCTACTGAAACAA